GAGCGTAAGACAAAAAGTTTGAGTTGAAAGTAGCGTTGACCAGCACAAGAACTTCTGAAGTATAATAGCAATTTAATGCATTGACCTCTGTTCAGAACTGGTTTTGCAGCTTTGGTTCATAGCATTAGTTCTTCGATGTGTTTTTTCTGAGATAGTTCAGTTCTTGTGTAATAGAAGTTCAGCCTGTGGTTAATATGGGAGTTCTGAAAATTAATTCCTTAGCCTGTTTCAACCATGATGTGTGTTATAATAGAAAGAACAAATGAAGAGAGGGCAAAAATGCAAACTTAAAAGATTTGGGATTTTAAAATATTTGATAAGAAACAAAATATTCATGCACTTGTGGCGAGGAACAAGATTGTTTTTAGCTTCTGGGTGACATTACGTATAGAGTCAACAATAGTAAAGAAATGAGAATAGCTCTATAAATAGCAGATTTTTCACTGAAGCTTAAACCAACCCATACAAATAGTAACAGGAAAAAAACAAAACCAAGACCAAACACACAAATTTTAGGTGGTTCTAGTGATGTGGACTGAGTGTAAGTCATGAGGTTTGCCACAGTGTTGCTTTGTAAGATCCTTTTCAGAAGCAGTGGAGAGTCCAAGTCATCTGTTTTATCTGATGTCACCTCTTAGAAGAAGGAGCTCTGCTGTGATTTTACTAATTTTCAAGTAGCTGGATGGTATAGAAGTTGTATTTAATAATTATTTATCATCAGGGAAATGAAATATTCTTGGATTTTATAGAGACAATAAGCTCTGTTTGGAGGATGGGCATGCGAGCATGGTGGGAATGTGCTACAAGCAAAAGTAGCAGCTTCTGACATCCAGTGTATGGAGGCTGAGCTGAGTTGGAGATTTTGTGTTCAAGATGGTGCCACTTGGTAGCTGGGATCTTGCCTCTCTCTAATGAGGAAACACCAAGAAAGAAGTCTGGAATATGGTTGTTTTCTTCAGAATTACCACCTAGTAGTAGTAGTAGTAGTATACTAGTAGCTCTATAGCAGTATATTAGGTAACTGCATTATCTCCTTTATGGGATTCCTCACTTGACATGGGGTTTTTCTTCATCACGAGCTTTCCTTTGATGGAGTAGGCCTTTTTGGTGCCCAGGATAGCATACCGAAACTAGCAGTCAGTTTTCAAATGTAATTAATGCAATCACACAGACCCTTGATTTCTCACTGATGATGGTAAGAGTTTAGCTAGCAATGAAAATATGAGTTTGAGCAGCTGGTTGTTCTTCCCCATTAGTTTCATCACCATTGTCTGTTGTGCACACCTGCCTGTAGTTGTACAGGCATGTAGCTGCATGTTGCAGCACATGACATGCACCACAGCTACTGGGTATGAACTGAAGAACTTGGGCCCAAAGCTTTCTTGGGAGTGAAACCGGCAGTGACAAGGTCTGTCTTTGGCCTGCTTCACGCTGTACATTTTGCTTATTCTGATGGAAACAAATGCAATCAGAAAAGGCATCCCTGCCATAATTCTTGACATGATGAGAAGGGGTTTGACTCATGGGAAATTGTAAGAAAATAGGTCTTCTGCTCATTCAGTGATTTTGTTTTCTCTAAGTTAGTCTTGTGGTAAAACATAAGCAGAGAAGACTAGAGGAGTAGGTGCATGCCTGGGCAAGGAGCAGCTTTGAAACTTTTTCCAGTCTGGGTGGGATAAAGAGACTTTAGGTTTAAGTGATGTTCATTGTGATGATGTTTTGTGCTAGAGCTTTTCCTCTTTGGTCCTATAAACTTTATATCCCAGGAGAGTATCAGTGCCAATATTGGCAAGTTTTTAGAGGCTTTCTTAAACCTCTTATTTCACAGAAATCTCTGAGATTTCTGGCTGGTCTCTCCTTTTCTAGCCTAAGCCTTTCCTAAGAAATCCATCAATTTTCCACTTGAAAATAGCTATGGGTAAAGTCACAGACTACTTTCACATAAGATTAAGGGTTTGACAAGGGTAGTGAGAACAAAGAAATTCCAAATTAGGTCTGCTTCGTATTTAAACTCCCCTCTCCCAGCCCCTTGTTGCACCATAGTAAACTTTCCTAATACAAGTAGGTTGTTGATATACTTCCAAAAAGAATTCCAGTTAGCTGAGGGATGGGATTAAATGGATTAAATAGCCTCCTCATTTTTTGGTAAAGAAGAAAAAAAAAAGTTTGGTTAAAGGCACAGACAAATGTGAACTTAAATTATTTTGGCGTAGATTGGCCTTCCAAACTGCCTTGCAGATGAGGCTGCCCGCCCTTGTTGGGGCCCTGGATGTTGGTGGTGGATGTGTGAGCGTGCTGGACGCGTGGAGCTTGCGCTTCAGCCACACCCATTTCAGCAGAGTATGGCTGTGGGTGGGAGGTGAGATAGCAGTTGGGTAGAAAAGCTTCAAAGAATGTAAAATGTCCTCTGTCAGTCTCCTTTTAGTGCCAAACTGCTGTGTCTTACTCAGCCAGACCCAAGGCCTGGAAGGGCCCAAGGACTTCCAGCCTGCTCCTACACTGGTGTTTTTGGTGGTGTCTTCCATTTTGGCGGTGTGGTGTGGTTATGGTAAAGGAAATACCTGTTCTTGCTCAGCACAGAAACTTGATGGGGTCTGAAAAATCATCATTCTCCTCCTTTCAGATCTTCTTCTGGCCTTCTTTTCCTAAGAATTTATGGGGCTTCAGCTTTGTACAAAGTACAAATTCTCCTTATCTGACTCTATCTCTTAATGAAAACAGATTTTTCCTCAACCATACCTATCTTGTCTCATTTTTCTGACCCCTGAAGACAGGAAATAGCAGTATGAAGATCCACACCAAGGTTTGGCAGCGGCTGAGAGCTTCATGTGTGGCAGATAACTGCTGGAGATGTGACTTGGATGTGGACACATAAGTGTTTACATCTTTGTTGTTTGATGGCGTTGTTTATCATTCCTTGCCCTGTGAAACTTATGGGCCACTAGTTCAAGCAGCAATGGGAGTGGTTTTTTTCTTGTGTTTTAAAGAATCCCTAAAACATTTTTTTGGCTTCTTTCTAAGGTCTACTAATTTGCCTTAACATATTGCTGTTATAAAGAGTCACATCTAACAGGCTGAAAACAAATGCATGCCAGATCTCACTTAGCTTTCCTGTCTAATTAGTCTTAAGTATAAGCAGTGGAGTAATTTTGTGTTGTGTACATGTTTTTTAAAGCAAACTTTTTGTTGTCTTTGATTTCTATATTAATTTGGAAAGCATGCTCTAAGACTTAAATTTGTTTCACATTTGCTTCAAATTCAAATTAAAGCACTTCACCCTCAACCAAAGAATTTGCAAGGGGAAAAAAATGGATTTGTTGACCTTATCATGACTGGATCTCATCCTGATCCAGTGCCAAATCTTTTCAGCATTGAAAGGAAGTAAAAACAAGAATTAAGAACTTTCTCTGATTACTGCTGGGATAGTAGCATTTCCTCTACCTGCAATGAAATGCTTCAAAGCAGCCATTTATTCAGGTAGTGTAATTCATATCTCTTTTTACTGCTGACTTACATCTTTTATTTTACCATAACACTTGGGCCTGTGTCCCTCCCACCTGATTTTATTCACCTGAGAGGCATGTCTTCACAGGGTGCTGAGTGATTGTTTCCTGGAGAGGAGGAGCAGAGAGTGCCTGGCATACTCCAGTGGCAATGCTTGCCTAGGAGACATGTTATCTCTGTGCCAGAGCTCTCTTGCCAGCTTTTTCTCAGTCTTCATTGATTGTGTGGCATTCACTGAGTGTGGCTTTCCTTCTAGCTTTGTGTGACAGATAAGATAAAGAATGTAAAATTATTACCTCAGGCTTTTAACTATAAATTGACCAACTAGACCAAAGGGAAAAGGAGGAGATGGTGCAAGAATGACTGTTAGCTATTTGGCTACAGGTGTACCGAAGTGCTTTCCTAGCATACATGTCTTTGAAAATCTGCCCTCAAGGTAAATGACGCTGCACTGCACACAACCTGTGCAAAAGTTAGCAAACATTCAGAATGTGTTTGGAAGATTAATAGTGTGATAATTATCCTCACCCTTTTTTTCCCCTTTTTTCCCCCCCATAAAGCAGTGTTCTAGGGGCTCATCAGGCTGTTCGTTAAATAATTGAGTTGTTATGCCAACAGGCTGTGCTAAAAGGTGTTACATCAGTGATTTCTTTTTCATCCCACTGGGCTTTGATCTCCTGCTATAAAGCAGAAGATCTAACAGTGGAAACTTTTGAAGATGATAGATGAATTGTACTAATTCACTTTTCATAATCCTTACAAAAAATGTCTGTCCTTATCAGTCAGAAAAGATTTAATAGCTGTTGTCTCTTGAAAGTCTCATATTATTACAATTGCAAACTATGAAATTACTGTTATGAAATATTTTACTAGTATATTTTTAATGCTGTTGTAAAAGCTTCAGGATAAATTAATAAAGACACTTCTTTGCTATAACCATGCTTTGCTTTTTCTGTATTTTCTCAGTAAAATGTACCAATTCTTTTCAAGAGAGCACTGTGCAGTAGTGAATAGTAGTGAATGTCCTTATTGATGTTAATTGTCCAGCTTTAATTTCATATCACTGGAATTCACTGAAACTGTCAATCCAAATATACTAATTCCAAACATTATATATGGTGCTGAAACAAATGGTGAAAGTCTTGGCTCATAATATAAAAAGCACTGTAGCTGAAGGAACCATTGTGACAGTAAGCCATGTGTAAAGTACTGTTTGCAGATTTGGGGAGCATAAAATACACCATCTTCTAGGAAAGAACAAGTGTTTGGGCTTGTCTCTGGATGAAATTCACAGTTATATTTTCAGAATAAGTCAGTAAAGTTTGTGAAGTTTCCCCAGGATTTAATCCAGCACAATCTTGCCCAATATATCTTTCGTTAGTTGAGCTCCCGACTTCTCTGGTAAACGCTGCTCAGAGAAAATTGTCAGCAATGCTTAGAATTATAAAAAGTCTTCACCAGCTCTAATTATATTTTCTCTCTTTCCTTTGCAATAGCCTTGGGCCAGATAATGCTTTACGTCGATGGCATGAATGGAGTGATAAATCATAATGAAACCATCCAATGGCTGTACACGCTTATTGGCTCAAAGGTAAGACTCTCAAATATTCCAATTTTATATGGCTTTGGTGTTGTTTTAGTGCATTTTTTTTTTAATGCTTTTAGGGTATAAATAGACTTTGTGTTAGGCTCTAAAACATTCCATAATATTCTCTGTGGAAACCAGGTCACACTGAGCTGATACTTCTCTTCTACTGTTTTTTCACTCTTTTGTCAGCACATATGCTGCTCTTAAAGTCAAAGATGCCCTCATTACTGTCTGCGCTGCCATTGCATTTGACCATGGAGAAATGGTCAGTTTTTTGGTTTTGTAGTTGCAGTTCCCAAGGCATTCTTTGGAACCACTCTACTCGCCATTCTACGCTGCTCACCTCTGCTGAGCACTGGGAGAGGACAGTTCAGAGTGACCCCCTCTTAAAGTAGAATACACAAGTTCAATTGGAAGTTACCTACAACAATCATCTAGACCAAATGCCTGACAGCTTCACTTTATGAAGGTCGTTGTCCAAATACTTCTGAAACACTGACAGGTTTGAGACTTTGCCCACCTCTCCAGTAAGCCTTTTCCCATGTTTGTCCACCCTCTTAGCAAAGAAATGTATCCTAATGTCAAGTCTTTTGCGTGGAGAGACCTTGAAGGCAAAATCATGTACCTGCCTGCAGGGTATTCTTTCTGGTTCCCACATACTGAGACAAAAAGTTGAAAGCTGGAATATATGTAGCTTGGGTAGGTCTTTTCCAGTGGAATAGTGATTTATATAGTGCGCAGTCTACCTTTAAGGCCATCTTTGCTGGAATTTGAAAAGCAAGCAGAACACAGATTCTACTGACATGCTGTTCTGAGGGGCCATGGGATAGGTAAACCCACAAATGTACCCTGCTCCAGCCTGTTGGCTCTTAATGAGCTTTAGGGAGCTTATTAAGGCCTGCCAGGGGCTGCTGCTGCTCTTACCATGCAGATCTGTACATAGATAGATATGTATGACACAGTAGCTGGAACAGAGTATGCTAGTTGTTTACAGCTCAAAAGTTGCTGTAGTTGGGGGAGTTGAATCCATAGTTATAGTTACTAAGAAATTTCCAGGAATGTTTCAAGTGTCTGAGTCACACAAAGTTGCTGTTGCGTACTGTAGTGACATGGAGAGGCTGCTGCTCTCCTCTTTTCCTCTGATAGCTCTCATAACACAAGGAGGAAGAGCTGAATGTCCCAGGAGTCCTTTTTTAACTACAATTTTTTTTACAAAGTGCAAACTTCACTGCTGCAGCAGAATGTCAAGTCAAAGAACAGATGCTGCAGTATTGAAAGAACTGATTTTTATTGGGTCGGCACACCTATATTGGTAGATAAGTAAAAGTAAGTTCATTATAGTTATCAAATCTCAGGCTTAAAGGGCAGGCTTCATGATTGGGAAAAGATAAGGGGAAACTTTTCTCCCAGTGTAAAATGTTCCAAGGCAGTCTAGGCATTACTCTGAGCCATTTGTCCTTCTGAAACAGGGATGTTGCCACAGTTGAAAAAGCAGTGTGAGGTGAGAGAGAAACTATTTGCTTCATATATAGATCTACATTTTCTATGGAACAGATGAAGAAGCAAAAAAGAAACAAAAATACTGCCATGTCGGTGACTATTTTAATTCTCTAAAGCACATAATGGGAGTGGAATGGGAGAGAAACATGACTGTATTGCTACCTTGCAGATTAAATTCTTTCTAAATTTTCTTGCTCTGAGTACTTCAGCTCTTGGGTCCTTAAGCTCCTTTCTCCCTCCCCCATTGCCAGCCTGAATGATTATCTCCATGTCCTGGCTCAGTGCCTGCAGCTGAGGAATGCAGGCAATGTGCTTTGAATAGTTTGGTTTCAGGTAGCATCAAAGTTGCTTTTTCATTATTCTTCGACTGTCTTGGAGGAGATCTAAGTCCCTGTCTGTGTGCCAGAAGTTAACCAAAGGTATGGCAGGCTTACTGTCAGTGTGGTGGGACAGCTGCTTTACTCACTTAAAGGTGGTTTTGACTTTCTGTGAAAAATGAAGCCCTGGAATTTGCAATGCACCTACAGTCTGAGTTGCAGCCCGGCTATGCTGGTGCCTTTTCCACAGCAAAGATGATGAAAAATACGTTAACATTGCTGAGCAAAAAAGGAATAGTGAAACTGCCAATTAAGTCTTGGGACAAATCCCTCTAATAGGATGCAGGAGGAGTATAGTTATTCAGCTGCCACAGCTGTGACACATGGTTTCTTGCCTTCTCAAGAGCTCTGACTGGGTTTAATATACTTAGCAGTGGAGGTTGTTGAATCTGTTCCACAGATATTTTTTATTGTTTTATCAAAATCTGTAGTGGTTTTGCCCCTTCACTGTTGCTTACTCTGCTCTGTTTGCAAGGGGCTGCTGGCTCTGTCACCCTTGCTCACTTTGAGCAGTGGATTGTTGCACCACATGGGTTCAGCAGAGCACCTTGGGGGCTGGCATGCTCAGCACTGCAACAGCTCTGATTTTGGTACCCAACTCCAAGATCACTTTACACACCCAGCAATAGTTCTGTATAAAGATGGAGGGAAAATGTGGAAAATAAAAGTTTAAATTAGTGTCAAAGAAGGACACTAAGCAATTTACTGAAAGCCTCCTCAGATTTTTGCCATTGTATTCCTTACTATTGCTAATTCTACTGCAGTTTTACCCCACTGAGCATCAATGAATGCTTACATTGATGGGTTATCAGAAGTTGTTGATCATTTTAGTGCTGTTATCTAAGTTGACTCTCAATAAACTTATTAGGAAGGCAGTTGGAATTCCAGTGGTGTGACTGCACTGGCACTGTTGTCATTGTACCAGTTTAGAGGCACCAGCTGTGTCAGGGTGAAGAACTGAAAAGCAGGAAGAAACTTAATCTTAGATGACTTGTTTGCTATGGCACACAAAGAAAGAGCCTTTTGTTGCAGATTGGTATTATATAGGCACTAGGTTGGAAGTGTGATGGTAGCTGTACCATTGTTTAGTGATATTACGTGGAGATAAGAGCATTACTGGCACATCCCAGACTTTTAGGCCCACTGCTGGTTCTTTGTAAGTTGTGTCCAACCATAAATGACCACGCCACGGTGTGGCAGTGGGCTTTCACAGGCTGCCTGTAGACTGCTTTCCAATCATCAGTGGCTCATACATCCCTGGCATAAAACATTGGCAGCATAATCCCAATGTAAATGCACATTACTATTATTTCATCATTAGTTATATGGGCAGCAATTCATCAGTGGTTCCCTGTTTGACAAAGCATTCAAGTATGTACTCAATTATGGGTGTATGGTTACATGTTGTTGGCTTCCAGATCGCTTTAATACATAACTGAGGTCAGCAGTGAGCTGCTGCAGGCATGCAAAAGAGGGCTACAGCAGGGCCAAGGCTCTAACCATCTTATATAAGCTACAAATTATGTAAATAGGAAATATTGGTGTCAACCAAGTTTTCTTTTAGCATTTGGTGCTAGCATGGGACATTTGTGCAAGAGAGTTTGGTTCTTAGAAGACAAAACTAGAAGTTAATTGAATGGTAGTTAACAGTGCTTTTAGAATTGCTCCTTAATTTTTTGGGGTTTTTTTTTTTTTTGAAACTGACCTGTCAAGGATGGTGCCTGAACTGGACACGTGCTGTAGCACTCATGTTTCAACTTCACGGTACCTGGGAGATGATATTTCACCACCTTCTCAGTGCTTCTGTCACCTATGCCTTACTACTCCTGCCATTGGATTTGGTTTTATGTTGTATTGCAAATATATCTAGGCTGGCTGTAAATGGATTTTTTCATGCTGGCAGCTGGCAGTGGAGCTCTTTGGTGGATCACTGGCAGGTAAATGGTAATAGATCTTGGAAAAGTTCTCTTATCCAAAAGAAGGGACACCAAGTTAAAGACGTGCATATATTAAGCCATATTAAGTCCATAGAATGTATTTCTGGTCTATAGGCATATATAAGGTGTTATATATATACACACACACACATAAAATCTTTCATATGTGTTGGTAATTCCTCTAACCTAGTAAGAGAAGGTGTACAACACTTTTAGTGTATCAGTGCTTTCAGTCCTCCAGGACTACCTATTGACTGTTTACAAAAGTACATTTCTGGACCAAACATCTTGAAAAAAGCATAGCAGCTTCTCTGTATCTTCTCTATATCTCTTTATCTAGAGAAGCAAACATTTCTTTGCTTCACAAACTAACAAGCTTTTGCCAATCCATCTTGATTTTCAAAGCCACTTCTAAGGCATAAAGTGGTCCAAAATCTGAGGTTAGTTTCACCTTTTCTTTCCCCCTGTTTTTTACTGCTCCTGATAATGATTATTTTTTCCCATTTGATGATCCAGGCTGTTCTAATTTCCCCCAGGGGAGCTAAAGCCCCTTTTTGGCATTGTTTTCAGTGGAAAATAATCCATTTTCAAAGTGGTGCTGGGTAACCTCAGAAGACAGGGTGGAATGCTGGGCCCGGGCTGATACAACGAGGTTGATTAAAGATTCCTATCTCACATATTGTTTTAATTTTTTTTCCTACTTTGCTTCTGTCTGAGTCTGAGATTGCAAAGTTAACTACAAACTTTAACTATCAAGTTAAAGTGCCTTGTGTGAACCTTTTGCTTGCTTTGGTATTGAAGAAATGATTTCTGAATATTTAAAAATATCATTCTCTGAGAAATAAGCAAAAAAACCTATTTCAAAGCAAAAGGAAAAACAAAACGTGACACATTCAGATAAAACAATGTCGTTTTAGTGGGTAAACTTGTTGATTGCAAAAGGAAAGTTACAGAATCATAGAACCCTAGAATTGGTTTGCATCGGGAGGGTTAGTAAGGATAATTTAATTCCAGGCTCTCCCTGCCACGTGCAGGGACTCCTTCCACTAGACCAGGTTTCTCAGGGCCCTATCAACCTGGCTTCAAACAAGTCCCTTTGGGGCTGCTTTTTCTTTTTCTGCATGGTGCCACAGGCAAGTTAAAGCATGCCTGTGGTTGGTAGTCATTTCATGAGAATTTTGAGAGAAAT